AGCAGGATATCTAAAGCAGTGTGTTCCCCAGATGCTTCCCATTTAGCTCACTGGGAAGTGATGCACTGTTTAAGGAAGGACAAATCCACCGCTTCTTCCTTCTCCTTGTAAGGAGAGCACCGCATTCTGCAGGGAGAGTGGTCACAGGCTGAGCAGGGGAGGTGAGGTGGGCTCTGGAGCACAGCTTCTACCAAGTAACCGCAAGCAGAGGTCAGGACCGCCTGCCCTGCCTGGGAGCTTTCCTACAGACTTGCAGAAGTGGTGTAACATGGGAGCAGCCTCTCCAGCAGTCAGCATTTACCCTGCGCATGTGCTCCTTCCAGCAGTTCCATCCCAAAGAAAGCTCACAGAAAGAGGCACCTCCTGAGTCATCAGGACCAAATGGATGAACATGCCAAATACAGCACCTTTACAGTTACATTTGTGTGTCCCAGGCCGAAAAAGGCAGACTGGAGGAAGTCCTGTCCTGCTGCGGCCAGGTAACGCAGAGCAGGGCATGCTCATCCTTATGTCCCCCAAAGCAAGTACCTGGGAAATGCAGTCATCAGTGTAAGGATGTGCATCCTCTTCACCAGTCACCATCCTCTGGGATCTAAACCTAGCCACAGCTAGGGGCACCACACATTGCCTGTGCCATTAATGGGATCATCGTGGATGATGATCCTTTGCAGTAGCCAGTCAGAGAGATAAGATGCCAGGCAAAGGTACTTAGTCCCTTAGCAGGGATCCCCTGCTGGCCACAGCTTTGGGGTGACTCTGTCTGCTCCTTTCCTCGTTAACAAACTGTACATATTCACCAAAAGGGTAGGAGGAGGCAAAGCAACATTTTATCAGAAAATAAATGAATACTGTGAACCCTTTAAAAGCCAGCAACCCTAGAAATACTAGGTAGGATAGACTAACAAAGCATTTCTAAACAAGTCCCGCAACACCTCAAGGCCGCAACACCTTTCCTCATGGTTGGGGTTCAACCCAGTAATTCAGTGTCTCCATAGGCTGCAATAAATTCCTTGTGCCCTCCTACCAATTCCCAAAAGCATCTTTCCTTCCTCCTGGAGCCTTTTTGTGTGCTCCCTTCCCTTCTCAGCCATCTCCCCATTTCTGCAGTGCTGCACAGCCCCTCCTTGCAGCCTCGTATGCCTCTCCCCCAAATCTGGGCCATGGTTTCTAGAGCTGGAGCAGTTGCCCAACCCACAGAGAGAGCAAAGCCCCGAGGCAACCTTTTGGAGATCACAACACAGTGAGCTACAGCCAAACTGAATATACCAAGCTGGGGACATAGGCCATATCATATTTTCTGATACCTCTGCCTCTGGCCACATTTTTGTCTTGCCTGTAATTTGCACAGGACTGGAGCAGCTGAGTGCAGGCACCATGCTGCTATCAGCCCCATGGCAGAGACAAAGACTGTGCCTCAAAGTCAGGGGAAGGCAAGTTCCCCTGAAGCCAGGACACTTGCACCCATAGCCTAGGGGAGTGCACAGCTTGACCTGACCACGTCTGGGGGTAAAAACACATGTCTGAGGGCCAAACCCTGAGCAATGCAGAAGGCTCATCTGGGAAACATTTGGGGATCACCCAGGCCTGACCTTGCTGGAAGCTCATCGCATGCCTCCTTGCCACCCAGGGCTGCAGTCAGGGGCAATTGCTATGGGGGGGAAGGGGGGAGCTGTTTTTAATGCTCAGGTGGGGCAGCAGGACTATGGAATCTATGTGGTGCCAGCAGCTGAACCCACCAAGTCTCCCAGCTAATAGTTTTCTGCAGGAGTACTACCTGGGAACATGGGGCAGAGCAGAGCCCAGTGACCCAGCAAAGCAAGGGCACAGGAGCTGTGGAAGAGAGTACTATGAATACAGGGGCACTCAGCAGCCAGGTTCAAGGGACAGAGAGGATTTTGAGAAATAGATAAAATGCTAGTGCAATCCCATGCCTGTAGATTGTGTTTGTTTTTTTGGCAGATCTGGCTCAGGCTCTTCTTCCCCTTTAGCACGTTTTCAAGACATCCCTACTGCAGCTAAACAATGCACGGCTCCCTGAAGGCCTCTTGTTTTATTTTGAGGAAGGGAAAGGCTAATGTGTAGTCATTAACTGAGGATGCTGGAAAGCCCCAGTCCTGGCTGAGGTTCCGTTTTCATTTGAATTAGCACTGAAGAGTTTCCTTGTTTACATGAAAAAACATCATCATCTTGATTCTGCAAAAGGAGGAGGAAGGCAGCTTGGGGACATCTCGGGTGCAATGTTCGCCAGTACCTGTGCCAGTATGGAGAAGGAAGAGCCGGGCAGAACAAGCCATATGCTTGGAAACTGAGTCTCAATGGTAACTGAGCACTACCAACTCTACTGGGAAAATATAGCAGGGAACAGCCGTACAGTTGTCACATCACTTGGGAAAGCACAGGATCTGCACTGCCAAAGCAACCTGGCTGCAGAGGCAGGAGAGAGGCAGCTGCGCTATTCTACCTGGACATCACTGAGTGTCTGAAACCTCCAAGGAAGCAGTGGGACTGTTCAAAATAAACCTTTTTCCATTCTCTTCCATGCTACATAGTCACTTTGAGTTTTGTCCACTTATAATATGAAACGTTCTAGTTTTTTTCCTTCTAAAAAAAAAGAAAGTTTTCTGAGCATAAAACCCCTCCACATAGCTTTAGAGTGCTCACTCTGTGGTCCCCTCTGTTCTCTTTCAAAGCTCTGACTGGCTCAGGATGTGTTCACAAAACAGACACGATGCTCTTATTCCTTGCCGGAGCCAGAGCTCATGCTAGGACTTAGGGTGCACATATCCAGCTCCTGCAGGCTGGAAACACACTGTCAGAAGAGGAAGATGCAGAGTCTTGTCCAAAGTCTGCTTCCTCCAACAGGACACTGGGGACCATCAAATACTGGAAACTGGCGATCCCTCTGCAATAAGTTGTGTCCGGAGTCAGGAGACACAAAGGCAGGGCTGCAGGAAGGAAGCATCCAGGAGCCCTTTCCTAGGAGGTTTTCAGTACCAGCTCACTAGACTAGCTTGCCCATCAGCCCTGGGAATTAAGCAGCTCTTCCCTGTACCCCAAAATACAGAAACTCATTGAGGCCAGGCAGGGAATTGCAGCAACAAAGGCCAAGCAGATAGCAAGGGGCAGATGCACCTGGACTAGAAACTGCAAGTAGCCTTTGCTGGGGGGAAAGTGTGGTGCCAGTTATCTCAAATTATGGTACATAGATGGGGGAGAGTGACAGAGAACTCAGGAAGGGATTTTTATGCTTCTTATATCCATATAGAATATACTAAGACACATAGCAAGGAATCAGGGACCTGAAGATGAACTAGCAGAGGAGAAAGGATAAGACACTCTTGTCTTGCTTCTGACTTCCCACTTGTGGGTCACGCCAACTCTTTCCAGCTTTACCAATACATAGAAACCTCTCTATGTGAGCAGTGACCCTCACAGGCTAATGCAGGAAGACCCTGCTTAGAGAAGTAGGGCTGATAAACCTTTTTTCAGTACAGATCTTCCAGATCTGCAGATGGCAGACTAAAATATAGCTGAGACTTGCACTGCAGCAGACTTCTTTTTTCCAGTTTTCCCCAGTGGGGCTGATCAACTGCATTGAGGTTATGTGAAAGATGGATCTAGGGTGCCATGTGGAGATTGGCAAAGTGTTACTGCTCCCAAGGGAGAATCTGTATGGGGGAGGCTTTTGTGTAAGGTAGAAGTCTGAGGGGGAACAGTGCTTGGTGAGGACCCTGATCTTTCTCAGTCTATCTAGAGCTTGAGAATGTATTAGACAGAGCAGTGGAGACCTGTTATAGGTCAGCTTTTAGAGCAAAGCTGAGATCAAAGCTTTGACAGTAGAATAAAGTCAGGGATGGACTATGGAAACAATTACAGCTAGAACTGGGAAGCTTTTAATGATTTAATTCTGAATAAAATCAGTTCCAATAACTCCAAGAAGGCAGTAGAGCAAGTTATAAACTTACTTATTCCTTAGTTTTTCATTATCTCTTGAAGCATGCTGAATTTTTAGCCTAAAGGAAAAAAATAATTATCAATAGAAAGAATGAGAAAAGTACATTACATTAAGGTCCCTAGATATTGTAATAAAAAAAAGTATTTTGCTGAATATGTTCTAAGCTGGTAAATTGACATCACTTCCTTACTCGGAAGACTCCTCTCACTTCTTAATTCTGGAGAAAGATTTGCTTTATGGCCTTGTAGCATATTTGGCAGAACTCAAAGGTCCTTCAGAAATGACCCTTTGTCCTCTTACCCAAGACCTGAAGGCTGTCACCAAGAACGTCTGACCATGGTGAGTTTCGAGAACATCTGTATTTATCTAGTGGAGACTTAGCTACAAAAATCGTCCTTGCAGTGGAGGGAGTAGGGACACATTCTTCATAAAAGTGAGGATGAGGAAAATAAGAAGCAAAGGAGACCTGCCTGGGAAGAACCACAGCCACACAACAAAACTGCAGTTGTGATATAGGAGAGGCAAAAAAGCTGCACTTCCTTACCATGTATTGGCAGGGGCCTTTTCTGCCATGCCTTCAGCATCTTCTTGTAAGGTCAGAACAAACCCCTAATTGAGGGCATCAGTGCATTAAAAAATACTCATGGACTTCAGAAAAAAGGGAAACTGGCTCCTGTGGTTGTAGCTGCTGGGTAGTGCTACGAGACATAACTCAACACAAGCATTCAGCACCCAGGCTAACAGCTCCCAGCAAACACAGAAAGGGAACCCAAGCAGAGAGCAAAGTATGGAGAGAAGATGAAAGACCTTTTGGTAACCCACTACGTGCCTCAAAAGCCTTAGCCAGAGATGAGCTGAAGGGAGCATGGTGTAGGAATACCCTACATTCTGCTAAGCCAATATTAGGAAAGCAGTGGTAAGTTAGTTTGATCATAGGCTAGCCTAAACATGTACCTGCTTATACAATATTTCATAAGAAAGAACACATACAGAACAGGGACGGACCTGGCTGAAAGATCCTATAAATCCCAACCTAAGTCTCAAACCCAGGAGCATGGAGAGCTGCAGGAGGTTCTGCTCCCAGGAATAATGGTGTCCCTCACACATTACCCTGGAGAGAAGTCAAGGCTTAGAGAAGACAACAGCAAAGGTTCAGGGTAGAGGGAGCAGCAAGAGCTAGACGAGCCAGGAGCTGAGAGTCACCCCTGCATAAGCAGGGCACTCAGTGACAGGGGGAGGTCCCACAGGTTCTGAACACAGTGAGCAGAGCTAAGCACTGGTAAAAGGATCCCTTGACAGTCCCAAACACAGCAAAATGAAGAACCAGGTCCAGGGCCCACACTGGGGAGGAAGGTCATCTACTCAGTAGCTGCAGAAGCTGGGGGCAGAGACAGGGCTATAACACCAAAAAGTCCATCAAGGAGACCAGTTACCTATAGCATATGTCCAAGGTCTATTCTGGAGACAGGCCACAGTTAGAACATGAGACAGATACACCTACAACACAACTCAAACAAAGACTGAAGGCACAGGCCTGAGTTTAAATGAGGTTGCAGGGCCACTGCAGGGTTGGGAGAGTTTACCCACAGGTGAGGTTTGTCAGGGCAATTAAGGCTAATTAGTGCCCTCAAGACCTGACACAGCCCTGTCTGACGGCTGCTGTGGGGTAGTGAAGGCATGGAAGTGAGCCTGTGTGCAGTCCCAGTGACTTCTTGTTCTTCTAAGGGCAATCAAAACAGCCAGCTAATGAAGTGGCACAGATGGTTCGCACTGGTGTGCAGATGGAGAACAAGTATGTTGGTCAGTAAGAGACCAGAATGGGCGCGACATGCCCATGTGGCAGGAATACCCTCTCAGCTTAGGTCCCACTGGCTCCTCTAGGTTGGAGGAGAAACCTCAAGGCAGAAGCGCTTGTTTTGCATGCTAGCTGCAGGAGGCAAGCTTTGTTCCGCTTGAGCATGACAGATTTGGCATTAGTTATCTTCTGGGCCAAACTCTTTAGTCTGCTATACCTGAGGCAGCCCACAGACCTCAAAGCTGCAAACTTGTCCATCCTTTGCATAAGGTATTTCTTTGCACAGTCAGATGAGAGAAAGGAGGGAGCAGCAGGAAAGCTGGCAGGGTGAAGCACTGTGCAGGTGTGTGCATGCCACCAGCTGTCTGACAGGACCTGAGTATTCAAATGCTCCCCTGGTGCTTTGGAGCCAGTCCCCAAATGCCCTGGCCCAGGGCCAGGTGCTTATACTGGCTTCTCATACTGGAAGCGATTTATCATCACTGGGGTTATGGGCTGGCTTGTTTATAAAGCCTCCCCCTCCCTTACACACTCTCTTCCCTGACAGCACAGAGAGGAGAAAAAATGCGCTTCTCTTTCTATGAAGCCTCTTCTCAAAATGGCCTTTCTGGCCTGGTGATTTATTCTCAGGAAGGTTTTTTTGACTTTGCCATCTCCTCATGTAACCTCCCCTGGGCTGTGCCAGGAGCATGGCATGTATGCAGAGCAGAGCAGCTGAGCAGGCAACCTACGCAGTTCTGGGGCATGGCTGGAGCAAGGACTCCTGAGCCGGAGGAGAGACATACATCACTGACCCCCCTTTTTATTTTTAACTTCAGGTGACTCCTCAGCTTGAGCCTGGATTTGCCCAGAAGCATGTCAGCATGAGAGGAGCTGGAGCCAAAGCCCATAGCTGCTAAGGCTTCAGTCCTGCAGTGTTTGTGAGTGCCTCACTTCTACACACATCCAGACAGAAAGACAGAAAGCCTTAATCCTAGCAAGGGCATGTCCGCCAACAACACTGGCAGCTGGCCCAGCTCATGGACTGACTTGCTTGTCCTGCATTGCCTTTCCCACTTCTCCTTCCCAGCATTAGAGATGAGCTTGTAAGAGTAGCCCAGGGCCTGACTGGAGGTAAAAAAAGTCCTGCCTCAGCCCTTGGTTTTTTTATCCCTTATAGAACTGGGTTGGAGCAAAACCTTTTCCCATGGAATGCTGTCCAGTTGTGGGCTTGCCTTAGCAGGACTGGAAATGCTACTCTCTGTGAGAAAAGATTCTTGGCAAGCCTAAAGCCCATAAACATTAAAGAGATGGAGCAATAGCCCAGCCACATCAGCGCTGCTGGCTTTACCATCTCTCAGTAGTGCCAAAAGTTTCCCCCACATCACTTAATCACATGCACTCTTCTCCATACCTCTGTAGGCACCAGACTTAGTTATCCAGCCTTAGTCTGAATCCTCTGAAGACAGCAGTTTTTAATATAAGAACTTTTATTACCTTTTAGTCCAAAAAGAGATACAGAAAATATATATCACGCTCATACACACCAAATACATAGATATATTGGAGTTTATAACATTCACTGCCCTCTAGAACAAATTACAGCTTAAATCCTGTGAACCTGTAATATTTACAGGCTCCATGTTTTTGAGCCTGTCACCCACAAGCAGTAAACAGCTACATTCATCTTGTGCCTTTCCAACTGTCGATCCCACAGCATAAAGCAAGGAGAAACAGTGGTCCTCTCACTGCCCTGGCTGTGATGGATAGGGAAGAAACTGCCCCAGTTTAAAAGAAAAAGCCATTTCATGCCCCCAGCAGCTGCTCAAACCCCTCTCTGAGGCAGAAGCTAGAGAGGTCCCACAGGGAAACCCTGGCTGCCCTCCCAAGTGTTCCTGGAGGTCCTGAGCTGTGACGAGCATGGCTGCAGCCAGCAGCAGGGTAGGGAGACCTGAGCATTAGGAGGGGACATGGCTTTTGTGCTCCCCCTGGGCAGCAGCGTCCTTTCAAATGCCATGGTGGGACTCAAAGTGGTCAGGGCTGCAGCAGTACACCTTTATCTCCCCAGCATAGCTTTGTGCTGAGGCCTTTGCTCACAGCTGGTTTGGAGAGAAGAAAACCACAGGAAAATGACTGTCCACTCCATTTGCTATAGTATCTGGAGAGACTAGTTTCACCTGTACCACTGTGACTGTGACCTGTACCCACTGTGTCCCACAGCTTGAAAAGTGAGCAAGAATAACAGCACACAGTGACAGCTCCCTAAGGCAGAGAGTTGTGTCCTGCCTACCCATGTCCCAAGGAAAACCTTGAGAGCAACTCTGCTCTTGTGGACATACTCAAACCATCCAAGACTAGTAAAAAAATCAATAAGGCACAGTGTTTTTCAATGTAGCATAGTCTAGTTCTAGACTCTATGACACTCTGTTCACAAGAACATGACATTGCATGCATTTGCATCACTACAAAACTTCACTACAAAAATAACATTTCTCATATTTTATATAAAAATAATGCTATAGTATACTGTTCCACAAACTGCAAGGCCACAAACCCCAGCTGGTGAGACTTCTGCGTGCATGAGTGGGGTGGATAGGGAGGCAGCACTGACAGCTACTGCAGTCCTTTGTGTAAATCAACCCCATTTAGTGCTGCAGGACTGGGGCTGCATGGGGAGGCTTCCACACAAGGGTGAATTTCACCCAAGATTCCTGATTATAATTAATCTGATTGCTTTCTGTACCTCTTCTACCTGTGAAACCCCAGACAAATCTCTAGTTCCCTCTTCCAAGTTAACAAAGAACTACAGGGATAAGAGGTTGAATAATATCAGAAAACAAATACCATTGCAGTCAATCGTTTCCACCCTGAGGACTGGATGGATGCCCTGAAGGTGATATCTGACAGATCTAATGGGCCAATCTTTCTCTAGCTGTGTTTTACAGCTGTTTCATCATCTTTGCTTTGAGCATCTTGCTTATTATATGTGGGGGTTTTTTGTTCTACATGCATATTTATACTCTGGGACATGATCCACTGAGGTTAATCACTGCAGGATTAGACCCCTGATACACATAAATACATCATATTCTGAAGATCTTTAAATGCTCGTGCAAATTCATAGTGTCGTAAGCAGGACTAAATGTTAAATAGAAGCCTTCAGGAACCGACCACAGATAAAAGATAAGGCTTACATACAGCAGTGTCTAGATGTGTAAAAATTAGAAAAAAACTTGGGTTTAAAAACCTCTCTGTTACTGTTACAATGCCTTAATAGCTTAGTGATCAAGGCTATATAAAAAAGCTAAAATGACACCAAAGCATAGAACCATGAATAGGCTTTTTATACCTTCTTCTGGATCAGCAAAAGTGCTTATTTCCAGAGACAGAATATGGAACTGGAAGGAAGATAGGTCTGCTGCGGTGGAGTAATTCCTAAATCCAGAACTACATTTAGCTACTCCAAAAATGTATTTCCTGGCTTTTGTGCTTGCTAAACAGCAAAAAACCCTCCAACATTATCACAGGAATAGCAAAGTTATTGGGTCCCTCTGATGATTTCTCCACACGTTTTTCTGATTTGCAACAGTTTCTCTCCCACATAGTGTTATTCAGCGCGTCGGCATTATCCTGCCCTGGTGTTGGACACAACTGGACACAAGGTACCTCTGCTGGAAGAAGACTTCTATGGCAGTTAGCCAGATTTGCCAAGAATCAGGTCTCAGGCTAAATCTACAAATGCAGCTGCCTCTAGCTGTTTGAGAGAATAGTGGCCTGATTTTGAGGAGGAGATAGACTGTGGGTTGTCAGCATCTGTAAGAGTGAAACCTCTAGCATTGATCTTCAGTTCCTTATATTTGTAGGCAAATTAGATTCAGTTTTAGTCACCTTTGTCTGAAAAGTTAGGTAGTATCTCTCAGGGCTCCAGCAAGAGTTAATGGGATATTTAGTCAGGCCAGGAGAGCCAGCACCCCACTGACTGTCAACATTAGTCTTGGCCTGACAGAGCAGTGATCCAAAGTGCAAAGAACAAAACAGCCGAGAGTTTGTAAGTGAAAAAAAAAGTGTGTTTTGGTTTAAGATTGCCTGAGTCCAGTAGTGTGGGTGAGTGGGTGGTTTCTCAGCTGGGCCATGATGAAACACAGTCAAAATACTGGCATTGGTTAATGACAACTTAGATATATTTTTGGACATTCTGCTCTGCAAAAAAACCCCACATTTTCTTTGGTATTTGTATTCCCTGGCTTGTTTTGTAAGTGTAAATTTAGCTTTCCTGCAGCAACACAAAGGAAAACCTATGCCAAAAACATCCATGCCATAAAGCATTCAGATTATTTCCATTGGACAGACATTGGATTGACATCCCTCCTGCTGGTAGAGCAAGCCCTGTACCATTGACATTGCTTCTTTTTTGATTCCCAATTTTTTATATAGCCATATAGCAGCAGCACTGCAAGCAATCACACCACCTACCATAGAAACTGGGATGATAAAGTGCATTTGGGATCTTGACAAGAAGCTAGGAAAAGGTGGATCATTTGGAGTCAACTGTGCTCTGGCTTGGCCTGAGAATGTTTGACTGGTAAAAGCTGATGTATCTAGAAGGTCTTGCTTTCCTAAAGGTGATGAATGTTCAGGTGTTCTAGTATCAAAAGCATCTGTCCAGGAACCAAAAACTTTGTTGCTGTGGACAGAATGACTTTCATCTATGACAGTTGTGGGGTTTAAAGTAGAAACTGAAGTAGCATCTGATGGAACAGGTGGAAAAGGTGTTGTTGTTGGGGTTGTGGTAATCTCAGTACTGCCTAGGACGGAGGGAAGATCTGAATTAAAACTCCTAGAAGCAATGTCTGATGTGTTCGCTCTTGCACTTGCAGGGTGTAGGGATTCATCTGTGGAACCTACAGAATGGTCTGATGCTTTAGTAATGGCCATGGGGCCTGAATTCAAGTTAGGAGAAGTCATGTCTGGAACATCAGCTGTAGCATTTGCAGTATATCCTACAGATTCTTCTATAGATCCTACAGAGTTCTCAAAGCCATGCACAAGAGCCATGGAATATGGGATAGACTGGTTGGGGACCGTGCCTGCTGCATAAGTTGTTGAATGTGCAGCAGCTTTTGTGGAATCTCTGTTTGCTTCTGAACTCACTTCAGAGCGGGCAGCAATTTCCTGTATCACAGGGGACAATACTGTAGAGAAGTGTGTGATGTACTGCATGGCTGGTATGGGCTTGCTGGACACCTCTGTCCTGACAATAGGAGCATTTATACCCTCCAAAATTGTCATGCCAGCCCCTTGAAAAGTACTAGTTGGAGCAGTTGCTTGAGATGGAGCTGTTACTGTAAGACCACTATGTTTGTGAAAAATGCCAGGATTTTCCGGCACTGCTGCTGAAGTGGCAGCACGTGGAAGTGGGGATGCTGCTAAGGCCCTTTTCTGGTCCAATTTCCATATGACCTTCTTTACCCAGTCTTCTCCTGGATCCGCACAAATCTCCAAGGACTTCTGAGTAATAAATCTGAAGTGAAAATAAAAAGGGAATACTTACCAGATACAGAAAACACTGTCTCAGACTATCAGTGTGACACAGAAAGCATCTAGAGATGCTGAGAAATGCTGACTCTCAAGCATCTACCATAGTAACACCATCTGAGTTGGATGATAAATAATGGCAGGAAGGGCAAGTGCCTCAATGATCTAATTTAATCATCAGCAGTTGACCATGACTCATAGGTGAACAGCGTCCTCCAAGCAGGCTTTTTCTTTCAAAAGCATTATTCAAATGTTCAGAAGGAGTGTTTGCTTTCAGCACTACAAAACAAGAAGCTTGGCAAGCACCAGTAGCACAGGGGTAAGAACACATTAAAACAAAACCCTTTCATTTTACTGTGAGAAAGACTTTCCGCGGTCAGTCCAGCAGGCTTGCTTTGGAGCAACCTCCTGAGCTGAAATAACATGGTCTTTATGGTGCCTCACTCTCAAAAATGACAATTATTCTGAGGCAAAAAAGGTAGCTTTTTTTTGTCCATTAGTGCAATTGGGTCTGAATCTGTTTCCACAGAAAATATCTACTTTCACAGTAATGTGTGAACTCTTACCCTCTGTATGCTTACATTTCTCCATTCCACTGGTATGTACTTTCATCATTTCTTTTCCTCATATATTTATCACTCAGGACAGTGACTGTCTCACTGTGTGCGTGGACAGAAATCAGTGTATTTTGGGCCCTGAGCTCACTTGGAGGCTATAGGTTTTTAAATAGCGGGGAAAAAAAAAGAAAAAAAGCATCCTCCAAATAAATACCAGTGTTTGCTCTGTTTCCAGAATGCTCCTTACTTCCAAACAAGGGCATTGGCTGAGAGGGTTTCCACTTAATCAGTTATGGAGTGAGTATTACAAAGGGACTCGACAGTAAGATGGTACTTACATGATGCCCTGTTTGGTGCATTGCGGTTCAGTCCTGTGATAGCTTTTTATCCATTTCTCAGGTATGCTGGGTGTAAAACGGCCACACTCCTTTGAACACTTCAGAGATGCTTTAGGTTGCCCTGAAATAAAAATTTCAAGATATTAAACATTGGTTCATCATTACATACAATAAAATTGGCACTGATTCTTTTTCCCCGTTCTCTGTTTAGGAGTTCAAAGCTTACCACAGAAGTTTCCAATTGCTGCTAAAATGAGCTGTCTTTATGAAAACAAATCCTATCAAGGCCATGAGTGTTGGAATCATCCAAACAGGTCAGATGATACCCCTAAAAAACAGGTCAGAAAAACCCTAAAAAACACTATGAAAACTGTTGGGTTCTTGGGATATGTTGCAATTTGCCTTATAGGATATGCAGGCACTGCTTGGGAACCTGCAAGACCTTTCACCTTTGGATCAGTAGTTCCTGTATAAATACTATCCCTCCCCACAGCTTAGCTGTGGGACAGGAGGACTAGTCTCAACACAATTCCCAGAAGACAAATTTCTTCATCCCCAAAAGGCCTGCTACAGCTGTTAATAACTGGCTATGCAGACTGAGCAGATCAGAGGGTAGAATGCTTGTCCTATCTTTTGTCTCCATCAGCTATATTTCTTCCCCTTGTAGGTCTTCCTTGAGAGTGGAAGGCTGGTTTAAATCATGCAGTCTCTACAAAACACTGTCTCAGATTCCCAGATGAATTTGGTGAAGTTCAGTTGGGAATGATCCAGCCATTGGGTATAAGAATGAGTGTCACTCTAGGAACATCCACAGAGCTTGAGGCATCTGGCCAGTGTCTTTTGATCCATTTACTGAGGAGATCTGTGGTTGCAAAGAAATCCCTATCAAACCCTCCTGTGGCCCTTCTACAGAAGAACATTTCAATCTCTACATCTCTGTAATGCTAAAACAAAACCCTTTGTTTAGCCAGTAGTGTTTTCTGTGGCATGTTTGGGTCAAGAACATCTACTCCTCAAGCACTCAGGGATGACCAGCTTCCCAAATAACTCTCATTAGCTACGGGACATACTGCTGGTGTCTTCCACTTCCAGGAACACTGTTCAACAAATGACGCCCTGCAATAAGAGGGCCAGATCCTTCCTCATTGACAGGCAGGGAGCTGCGTGGCAGGGAGCACACGGGCTGCTCAGAGGAAAGTGTTACTACTGTAATACTCTAGTCCAAGGCATAGATATTTAGTGCTGCAAGTCTACAGAACCACCATGCCCCAAATACATCTCAGCACGATTTAACATCCTTGAGCCCTTCATTGGAAAGCAGAGAAGACAATCTACCCCGTCTCTATGGCACAGGGAGAGGGTAGACTGTTGTCAGCATCCTAAAACCTTGCAACAAGGCAGGATTTCTCAGGAAATGTCCTACAACCACCACCCACAGAGAAAAGCCAGAGTCCCACAGGCTTTTCCGCTCTGATCAAGGGAAAGAAGGCTGGGGTCAGATTTAACTTTAAGCATGAAGAAAGAAATTCAGGATATTTAAAACTATGCAACTAAGGCCCTGAGCTAAAAGAGGGGACATTTTATTTGCCCCATATTTTATTGCTTAGAGCAATGGCTGTCTTTGGCTGGGCATGCAGGGAATATATCCCAAATGCTTCTCTTGTGACTCCTGTTATCTAGGAGAGGTCCAACTACTGAGCTGTTCCTCAAATATCTTTCCTTTGAGAAATCTCAGTCCAAAGAAAGGCTAATAATCAATAACTGATTTTCCAGTTGTTGTGTTCACAAAGAAATGGTTTGAAATTAGCTGAACTGATGATGGTTTTTCCCCAGAGTGGAGGGGCTTGGAAAGCATCTTCCAAGGAGAGGGCAGAGTTGCAGAGCCACAGCTACGAGAAAGTCCCCTGAGTTCAAGGAGCACACACAGTCACAGGGAGTACAGCGCCAGCCCTGGCATCCTCTGTCGTCCCAGAGCATGCAGCCCCACACCTCCAAGCTGTATCTAAACCTTTGCCAAGGGGATCCCAGGGAAAGCCAGGGTCTAGGAGTTTTCCCACCCATGACCCCCCCACACTTCTCAGTGGGCACACTGGGAGCCTTCAATATCTGCTTTTCAGGATGGTTCCTCAAGAGACCTTGGGCAGGGAGAGCCACCACATCCTCAGGTAATAGCTCTGTTTCTGCAGAGCCTACTTGACTCCAGAGCTCAGCAGTGCTGAAGCACGTAGCACGTTGCCAGGGAAGGATAAACCAGAGTCCCCTTTACCTGCTTTACTCATGCAAGCCCTGGAGAATCTGCTCAGCTACACTGTGGAGGAGGAAGGGATGCACAGGTACCGTGAAGGAGCTGTGAGGAGAGGAACCTCCATCCCCAGCTATCCTTCTTGCAGTCCTCATTCCTCCCATCTGGTGGCAGCAGTGGCATCCTCTTTTCTGAGGCAAAGTCTAGTTTTGTCTGCACTGCCTAGAAGCCTGCTGCTAGCTTAGCATTCAGCCCTGCTTAATTGCTGCTCTTGCAGCAATTACTGATCTATGAGATCAGCCCAGGGAAAAATGCACCCACCTCCTGTCCTCTTCTCCAGCTTCCACTCAGCACACCACCCCAGAGCATGCAAGGATCTTTATCCAGAGACTGGGAGAGCATCTCACACCTATGAGAGGCTTTAGTGGGAGACCACAGCTGCAGGCAATACACCACACACCTACATCCTGCAGCAGCAGGGATGCATCCTGAGGTCTACATGCCTGTGTGGATGGACATTCGTCCTTTGACAGGCTGTGGTCTGCCCCCCTTGCCTTGTCCTGGGGCGGGGGAAACGGGAAAGGACTTTGTGTTATGTTTCTTTTCTAATACTGACCATTAGAAAGTCTATCCAACAATCTCCCCACCTACCCTCAATGCAAACAGGTAACAAGCCATCACAGGGGTTGCACAGACTACTTTGCTTCAAGAAACATTGTTGTAGCCTCCCCCCTCCACTTCCCAAAATGTCCTGCCTGTTCCTGCCAAAAGATTTCCCACAGACAATGAAGGGACACGGTCTCTTACTGCCTTTAATCTGACTCAGCACCAGACTTTCTCATGACTTCCACTTCACCAACCCCTTGCATAAACATCACTGCTCTCCTAGGAAGCCCAGAGGTTTGTAAGTGGAGTTGTGCCTCACCTTCAGTCACAGTCCCTAGGCACAAGACCTTCAGCACAAACACGACTTGCAGAGAAACAGTCTTCATATTTCTGTGATTTGCAGTAGGAAGGGTACACAGAGAAGGCAGTATTTTTGCTCTTGATGGCTTATTGTATCCTTTGGAGCAATACAGCTGCTGCAGCTCATTCCAAGAATATAAAGTCCCGACAGGAGTTTCAACTCTTTTTTAGCTCTTCCGCATGTATCTCACAGTGACGACAGAAGGCGGAGGGAAAAGTTGGGACAGGGAGGGAATATTGCTTGTACTGAGGAAATAGATAGCTCCTGGAATTTCCCAGTAAAGTTACATAAGCTTTTCATAGCACATGCAAAGCACGTTGATAAAGCTCATTGATAAAGAAGTCTAGAAGGGAACTTCAGAAGTCAGCTACTCCATCCTCCTGTCTCTGTAAGGTGTCTCTCACCCAGACAACCTGTGCTAAAGCTTCACTTTCCTTAGACTTATAAAGCTTTCCCCTAATTCTAACCCACAGCTCCCAGACATTCATTAAGCATCTGATTTACCCTAGACATAAAAGCAGCTCTTCCCTTCCTTTTTGGCAGCTGTCTAAGAGCAGAAGCATCAGAGAGCATTTGCTCATCAGCATCACAAGTCCATCAGTCCTGCTAGGCTGGTGAACTCGCACCATGCCTGCCATGCCTGTTAGGAGATGAGAGCACCACCAGAGCTGAAAGAAAATGTGAGCCAGGAGACTCAGAGATATGGCTGTAGGGCTAGCTCTCCAGGGACATCTCAGCTACCTATGCTGACTTGGTCACACTCACGTGGATGGGCTGCTGGCCCTGCTGTGCTTACCAACCAGCAGAAGAGCCTTCCAGAGATCCTCTTCTGGCCAGCATACTCTAAGCCTGCAGCCATGCTGCCCTGTGCTGGCAGGGAGCTGTGACCATCCCAGCTCTCTGTGAGCAGTCTCTGCAACTGCTAGCTACTCTTAGGGCTGACTTCAAGCAGTTTCTTGTTTCTTGGGCATGCTGTCTGTGGTGCACTTGCTAATACAGCCCTGACCTCTGGTATATGACAAGGTACTAGCCATTAGGTTCTTGCTGACGCTAAGAACAGGGGTAACAGGTCCTTGGTTCTAGAATCAACAGGGCTGGCTCAGGGGATTCCCAGCACTGCAACAAGCCGGATCTGAAGTGGACGTGCCAACATGGCACTTTTACTTTCTCTTCTATATCACAGATCCCAGCTGAATACATAAAAATTCCCCGTGCCAACTCCCTCTACTGAAAGACAAAAATAAGATCAAGTTTGAGACAGTGTGGTTCCCCTCAAAATCTTTTTTCCCAGAGACTTGTTAGGTAAGAAAATATTTTATTTTCTCTCTGGTGGAAATCTGCCCTCTCTGAGCCAGGGGAAATCCCAACAGTTCTAGTTATGCTTTTTATTCCAAAACAGAGTAAAACCCCCAAAGTTCCTATAAGATGAACTTTCCAAAGATTTGGACAACATTCCTAGCCACTAACTTCAGCCTTTGCCTATATTATAATAGATAACAAAAACTCCTTTTCAAAGACATTTAAAAATTTTAAAAATCTTGAACTAATCTCTTTGATCCAGTCAGAATAGAAAACGGTGTGTCTATTGGGACATTTTTCTACCCCAATTCCCCAAATGGCATTTTCTCAGGCTTGGCACAGCCTTGCAGGAAGTTTTTATTCCAGGAACTGGCATTGCCTGAGGCTGAACACCCTGGCTCCTTGTCTCTTGGCTTCTTTCAGATCTTTCACAGCTTTGAAAAACCTGAAGCCAGGGGATCCAGTGTACCTCAGAAGATTTTCTGCTACTACTAGTAAAAAGCCATAGGCTTTGTATTAAATTGATAGTGAAGGGTCTTGGGACTTCTCTGGGCTTGTCTTGGCCTCAGCTGATTTTAGTTTCTTTGCTTATGATAGAAATTGTCTAGGCAATTGCTCTTGCCTAAATTTTAGTTTTGCTTTAGTTTATAGGAATAGTAAGCAGTTATTCAGTGTGGCTTTGGGACTGTAGAATAAAACATGTTGTGGAAGAGGGCAGGCACAGGATGATAGTGGAAATCCTAGTTTGTAAACACAAATCACAGTGGTCAATCAATGGACTGCAGCCCTGTGAGTCAGATAAAACCAGCTTTCAAGATAAAAAGGAACAGAAAAAGGGAGTAACTGGGAACCAGTGGACAAAATTAGCACATAGGCAGGCAGACTGTATGATGAAAATGTATAAAAATGAAATGAAGCAGACCAAGACTGAGGAGGAACAAAGCCCACTATGAACATCATATCCTTCCAGCAAAGACCTCAGGATGCTGACATTGCCTCACAACTCCCCTCTGTTCTTCCTTAGGAAGACTTGAAGAAAATGTCTTGAGGTCACCTTTAGGGCCCAGACGTGCCTTGAAAGGATGACATAACACTGAAGAACAGTAGTAGATACTAGAAAGAGTTTCTCTTTTCTCCTGTATAACAACTTTACCTGTAGTATTAATGAGGCTTTTCTGCATTAACTAGAAAATTTGGACTGTTAGACTGTTAACTGGGCTAACAATAATTTTTGAGGTCTATATATATGTCATGTTCCCTTTTGCCAATAACAAGATTTTGGTGGAATGCACCCACTTTCCACAGTCTCCCAGGGCAGTCAGATTTAGACATGAAGTGTCTCTTGCAAGCAGCATACACTGCTGACAGCACCCCACCAACCACAAACATGGTCTGGCCTTGGGAAAGACAACCTGCAAGACAGAAAGGAAACAAACAGGGATGTGCCATGCAATCCCACTGCTATGCTACTGGTTCCTGCCATGGTGGGTAGGAACTCAATAGCCTGCTATTACTAGAGTAAGCAGCAGGCTTGTAGATACCTTTGGCCTGCCCTGCCTGGCATCTTTTATAAAGAATCCAGAAGAGACCCTTATTCTTTGTTATATGAAGTCAGATGGAAAAGGAGAACCAATGTTCAAGTGACAGGATACAGGCAATCTGGATTGACCAGCTTGCCCAGAACACATCCAATAACAGCCATCTCTTGAAAACAGCATTCTCCCTTACTGTAGAGGAGCAATCTGAGGTTTAGTAGTCAGGACAGCCACACTGCACAATCAGGCCTTAAATCAGCAAGCTCAAGCACCACAAAACATGGTCAGCTTGGATCTCTGCCACAGTCCATGTATCTCAGAAATAAGGAGGAAGGCCATTCAGTCTGGTCTGACACACGGCCAGGGAAAAAAAAACATGAACAAGCATACATATAAACAATCTTGATTGGGTCTGGGCAGACAGATTACACACAACCCACTGTGCACCATCAGACTTGGGGCTATAGCCTCTGGGCCAGATAACCCAACTCCAAGTTTAATCCTTAGCACTAGCAAAAGGACTCCATGGCTCAAGTCAGACAGCTCAGTGGCGAGGCTGGAGTTTGGGCCGTCTGGCTCCAGTTCCTGCTCCATTCTAAGGAAAGTTACGTATCAGCCGTAACGGATGTCCCACTACTTAACCATTGCCTCTGCCGCAGAGAAAAGGAGAACAAGGTCTGGTGTAGACTGGATGTGCGTTGCAGCACAAGACATGCTGAGAAGCCTCATTTGATGCCATACCCATAACTTTTGGTTTCTCACTGGCAAGCATTAGCTGGTAGATTTGCTCAGTGCTCCAAACCTTGGATGCCATGGGCCAAATCCCCTTTTCTTCATCAGAGACAGGAAATCAACTCCACCACTCTGAGCATTTCTCACCCACTGCAGCTTTTCCAGGGCTGTCCACAGGCAAGTGCTTGAGCTATACACAGGCTCGAGGTCTTCACAGCTAGATAGAAGGCATGACTAATGCCATAGGTATTGTTCTTGAAGGCAAAAAGCAACTTGACCCTTCAAAAGCAATACGCAAGGAGAACAAGAGCTGTGTACTAAACAAAGAGTAAACGACCCCAGAACTTGGCCCTTCTCCTTCAGGGTGCTTCCATGTTAGAAATGCATATTCCTTGGCCATTCTTGTTCCCCATATAGGAAGGACTATGTGCTCTGTGTTACAATAGGTTTGTCTTCCTAGAAACCGTGTGGTGACTAGAGGAAAAATAAAAGTCAATGAGACCTAGAAGGCTATATGTGATCTGGAAGAAAAAGATCCCAGTTCTGATCAGACAATAATAGGGATGACTTCCACTGCATGATGAGAGAGCTCCCCAGACCCCAGCAACTAGCCTTCTAGGTAGAACTGGAGCAGGGAAGCCCAGCACCTCTGGCAGCAGATCGCTTGCTCTCCGTGATGCTGAGTTCCTCCTCCCTGTCATGGAAGCTTGTTAGAAGGAGGTGGCAGGAACACAGCTGGCTGTTGGGAATAGCCAGTCAGTCTTTATGTTGCAAAGGAGACAGGGTGAACCAGGACTCCAGCTCTGGACATATGATGAGATTCTCTTTCTCCTCTTCATGCCTGTTGCACCTACTCCTACCCTTCCTCTGTTGTTTGAGCAGGGGTAAGCTGCAGTTTGTACCTAGTCCTGAGTTACTCATGTGAACCCACCCTAGTGGCTCTGGGAACCTCTAGACTTAGGCTGCAATCATGAGTTGCTGGAATAATGTCATCTGTCGCCCCTTCCAATGTAAGGGGAACCGACACCAAAGCACAAGCATGGCTTTCTCTGCTTGCTCCCAGCTCCAGGCAGCCTTGTGGCAACTTGTTGCTTCACTGTACCCACCTCTCCTTGGTGGGGTTGCCAGCCCAACCACTGATCGGATACAATCCCCCTTTACTGCACAGCTACAGGGAGAACATACCCAAAAGCATTAGACCTAAGGCAGCTAAAGCACTACTGCGGCAGTGCTGCACACACTCACCAGATCTGGGCTTCTCCCGGGGACCTCACATCCAGCAAGGTCTATGTGTCAGGACACAGGAGAGCTATTGAACACGTACCATGGACGAGGCCAGTGCCTGCAGCTTGTCCCTGATGTGAGGGACGCTCTGTGTCTGCACAGAGCAATTGCAGTGTAATCCCCTGTGTATGGGGAGCTTCTGAAGTCCAAAAGCTACTGTTCCTTCATGGCCACAGTCAACACTGCTGCTCCCACCATGGTCTGCTGTCCAGAAATCCTCGACAACAATCCACATACCTCTGTAATGAAGCACCAACTCCCATGAGAGAGCAGATGCCCACTGTCCTGCAGCCGCTGTCGCTGG